GCACATACCTTACATACCAATGGCGCAAAACAGCAAAAACAAATATTGCTTTTGCCTTTTTGTGCAATCATTTGGTTATTTTTGTGTTTACAGTGTGGCAGACAGGAGCATTTTAAGCCATAAAATGACTATGAAACTGTATATATACTGTTTACATATCACAGTAAAACCTTCTGTACACACATATACATACGCACACATGTGCAGTCTACTTCCGGGCTCACAGTGTAGCGTCTGCTTATTTCTCCTGGGTTCTCACACGTTATATGTCTTCGTTATATTTTCAAACCCATCTGAAAGTTGGCAATAGGAGCCAGCACTCATCAAGAACAACTACCTGCCGCTGCACTTAACATTAATAAAAGAATTAGAAGAAAGGCACATTAGTCATGCAACGCCAGTCAAACTGTAGTTCACAGGCAGGTCAACAGAGGCTGTGTCACCACAGACTTAAAGTGTGAGTTTGTGTTTAAACAGTGCTTTAGATTCCAAACTGCATGTATCATTATAATCTGTTACCTACATTTGGAAGTATGCGCTGAGCCCAGTTGCTGTAGCTGACTGTCTGACCTGGAATTGTCACCTTATCAGAGGTAATTTGCGTTGTATGCGGACTGTGGCCCAACATGACTGTCCGTGGCAGTCAGGGAGCGGAGAGAGTATTTGGGTTAGAAAGGATAATCCACTCACCCCTAAAGAGGATTGGAGAATCTCAAGGGCTTTGATGAGTTGTGAGCTGGTGTTTATTTCACATCACATGAACAGCCAGGGCGCTTGGGCACGATCAGCGTGTCTCCGAAAGCATCATGGGTAATTGTTATTGCTCTGGAAAGAGTGCGGGAAAAAGGAGGGGAGGGTAGTTGCGTAAAAGGGAGCAGGAGGGGCTGAGCGCTAAGGTATTTTGGTGTCTTCGCTCTTTATCTTGTCACAGATCCTGGGGTTTAGAGAGATGATGTGATAACTGAGGCTGACCAGGACAAGTATACTGCAGTGCTAATGAGCATCCTCTAAGCTGAGTGATCATCTCCTGAAACATGATGCTGAAAAACAGCTTTGCATAAGCACTCAAAGTCCCATTTTTAAAATAAAAGGATATGTTTCATGATATTATGTAAAAAAAAAAAAAAATGGAAATAAAGAGAAGTGTATGCTGTTTGTGTATTTCTCTGTGGATATGCAAGCACTTCACCTCTCCAGTGTACAGACTTAATTGGCTCATTTTCTTTGGCTCTAAGGTTGCAGGACCACCCTGGTGAGAGAGACAAGGGCTTTCTATCATGCTTCCCTGCCTTCAACCTCATGTAGTGCAGATTCTGGACTTAGCATTAAAAGACAGACATTAAAACTCTAAGCAGCAGAGATACGGCTATGGTTTTAAGGCAACTCCTATTCCCTAAAGAAAAGAGAGGAGGTTTTAATTAACAGAAGACAAAGCCTTTAATAAACTGGTCCTGAACTAAACAATAGCGCTATGCTGCTATCTCACAGACTTTGTATTATGACGCCTATAAGTTTCAAAGTGTAAGGGGTCTCGATATATTTCTGTCACGTCTTTATCTGAGACCCATCACAGCGCAAGAAATGAAGCCTTCGAGATCTTAGGTGATCTGTTGGCAACGCACACATTCAAAGCTGGTGTGTAGACGGCATTCGTTAATTTTTTTCTGACATTTTTTCCAAGTTTTGGGTGGTCTGTAAAAACTGAATGAACCCGTATTCAATAGTATTTGCACGTTTCCACAGGCTGACTTTGGTTTTCCGTTTTCCACTACTCATGCTAAAACAGGAGAATGTTGTCTAAGTATTGAACTCCATATATTCGCCATGACCACTACTTATACACAGTACAATACCTGTGAAATCAGTGTGTGGGTGTGTGGAGAAAAGCAGTCACACATGTAAGTCAGAAACACTTGAAATAAAAAAGGACATTGTTTTACAGAAATAGCCAGAGCTGCATTAACATACCTACTATAATATTACGAAAATTAAGGCCTAACTAAAAGTCTTCTTCTTTCATCCTTTTAAGTAGTTTTCTGTATGACTAATGCATGATGCATCGATGTTAACTGAGAATCTAACGCCATGATACTGATTCTTGCATCCAAACAACCCCGTCTTTTTTGCAGGCTGAGTGATTCCAGGATGTATTTATTTTTTCTGTGTGATGGCAGACAGGGGACCAAGAAGTAGTTAAGAGGGAACCATGGGAAGCCAGAAAATTCTATCAGGAATAAATCCAGTGTTGCAAATTGGCTTAGAAAATATCGAGCACGATTTTCAGGCTGTTGTCCAGCGCCCAGTGCCTTAATACAAAATAGCATTACAGGAAAAGTTGTACTGCGTTAAAATCTAAAAACATTTTTGATTAAGCTGTTTTGTACACTGTTGAAAAGAATATCTGAGATCTCTCAAAACAAGAAGCAGTAATGCTACAGTATTAAAAAGTTCAAAGGAAAAGTCAAAATACCATTTAATTAATATCAAAGCATAGTTATTGGTAATGCAAAATGTCCAATTTCACTGTTATATAGGGTTCATTAAATTCCTGGATCACTCATTCATTAATTCATGTAAGGTTAATGCTTCAGCTGGAAATAACCGTAGTTACTTTATATACTGCTGAGTAGCTTAATCTATAATAATATTGTATCATTTGCAAGTGTGATTATATTTTATATTTCTAATCTAAATTTGCATTTAATGATAACTATGGCCATGAAATTCATCTAGCGGAGTTTAAAGTACAAGATTTGCCTCCAGAATACAGTGGAATCGAATAAGAAACTACCAATATCATAGGATAGAAATACATAAAGTACAAATACATAAAAGTTGTACTTCAGTACAGTATGTAAATGGTTACACTGGTCAGTTCACCACTGATCCTAGCAATGTTTTCTTATGGTAAGGGATATTTCAACCAGCACCATCTGAATAATAAATTAGCCACTGATCAACTGTCAATCCAGCAATGCCGTCTTTAAAGCAATACTAACATACAGGAGGATGACTAATGCTCTCCTCACTCTGATTAGTGCTGCATGGCTTTGCCCTTCAATGGTGCCAGTAAAAATATAAAGGCCAGAAGGTTTTCCATGGTTATTTGCAACACATAATATCTCACAAGAGCTTCTGGACTCTGGAGTCTTAGAAATACTAATCTGTTTATATAATCAGGTGACAATGATAGGACATCTAAAATTGTCACTTATGTTCACAAGTTGTTTTGCAATTTTCAGTTTCTGTGTTGCATTTAAGAGAAAGGTTCACTTTGTACCATGTGCATATATGTATTGTTTCCATGTATATTCGTGCACAGGTGGGGAGTTTCTGCTTTCAGAGCAGTGTGCACAAGCTGAATTTAGATTTAAGTTTTCTAATTGACAGTGAGTGACGTGAGGAAAGCTTCTGCCCCTCAAGACTGCAGAGCTACCCTCTCCTCTCCTCTTGATTGCAATATTACTCTATTCAGCCACTTCACTCAGTTAAGTGGTATGTTGCTGAATGGACATGCTTGATAGCGTTCAATTTACTAACTGAATGAACAAGAATAACACCGTGGCACAGCCCACACACAGGCAAACACATGCGACGTAACGCAGTAGCACGTTTCTGAGGTCAGAAGAAGATCAATGGGCATTTCAGCTTTGTGTAATGTTGTACCTGACTACAGCTCGGAAGTAGAATCTACTTCAGGATTCAGTTATTTTCCTTGCCAAATATGAACAGAAAGCAGCATGCCCCACTGAGACATATTTATTATAGAGACAAAATACCACTTCCAGTGATGTGGTGCCCTTAAGGGGCTGATGGCTTACCTGGCTCAGTGAGTAATCTAGTTTCTTTTTGTAACTGCTATGATGCCCACGATTGTACTTTGCTTTCATTTACATCTCCTTTTTGGTTTAATATCCTACCTGTCAGACCACAGCACAGGAGAATGGGTGCTGCTTCTCTTGTTTTTCTGAGCTACTGTTGAAGCAAAGCCTGGGTTTGATCCAGCTCATTAAAACCCAGTTAATGTTTGTGCTGATGGCTCCACAGAGACAGCCGGAGAGACAAGCCAGAGTTATTCCTGCGTCTGATGAAGCATCAGCTCAAAGCCTTTATGACTTTCAGATGGAAGAAAATTCTGCAGCAATGGAATACCATGCTCTGTAGGGATATCTTTAATTCGCACACAAACATTCCCAATTTAATATTGTCAGTGTGAAAAGCCTTTCGTGGCTTGTAGCATTATGTGTGTATAATTGTATGTGTGTCTATGTATGACAGACTGTGGAAATGTGTTGCGGCTGTGTTGTTGACAGCTGGAACTTAGGAATTAGATTTGTTTTTGAGAAAAACAACTATCAAACGACTTCTGTTTTATATTCACATGTTGTGTCAGTTACCCGCTCTCTTTCTTGCATTTGTATTCAATCATCTGTCAGGGACGCTCACACTCAAAGCAGAAAACCCAACCTACATGTGATTGCACATACTGTCACAAAGATGGTACAAAAACTCTTTTTATATATTTTTTTCTTTTTGTGAGAGTAAGTATGAAATTTTTAGACCAACCTCAGATGGCGTGACAGATGAATTTTAAATGCGAGCACTAGAAAATGTATCTTCCCTTACCATATGTTGTTGTGGTTTATTGTACAGCCTGTGTGGTATCTCAGAGAGGTGCTGTCTGAGTGTTAAGGTCAGATAAGCAGCCTTTGTGTGAGGCCATCCCCGAGCAGAAGATATAGGTCGGCATGAATAAAGCCTGAGGGTGGAGGACATGCTGAAATCTGCTTGCATTTGTCTTGAGAGTCTGACCTTTTCATTGGCTGCTAACGCAAATGTGTTGACTTTCACTCTGACTGCTTCAGAATTCAGTTTATTAGGGAGTTGGAGCATGTTTTAAAACATCATCAATGTCATCAATTTATGAACACGTCTAGTAATAATTGCAGCCACTTTGTAATTTGAGTTTGCTACTGACATTTTGTTTTTCGTGTGTGTAGGTGTAAAGGAGCCTCTCACTATGGGCTCTCAGCAGACAGAAAGCGACGCTCGCAGGAGGGCGAATGCACTGACAGCACCTCAGAACTCACCATTGCCACCCTGCCCAATGATGGCCCCACTTCTGCTGCTGTGGCCCTCCTGTCAGATGAACCTGGTCTGGTCAACCCTGCCTTTGACCCCAGCATGGAGGATAATAGTCAGTCAGGCAGCACGACTAGCCTGGCTGCTCGGAGTAGCACAAAGAAGAGTGAGTGTGAGTGGGCGAATAGATGTTTGTGTGTGCTCATGTTCAATGCCATATGACGTTATCTGGCAAGAGAAAGAGCTAAAAAGGTGTCTGTTTGCCATAGTGACAGACTGAAAACCAACAGAGTACAGAGATCTCCAGTGACAGTTACACGGTCTGCAGTCAAAACCAAGCACCAAAGATCTGTATTCATACATATATTTACACCCGCAAATGACATGACACATAACACCAGTTTCACCAATCTATAAAATCTCTCTGTGGAAAAAAGCAGAGAAACACATAGAGACAAAGTCACCGAGATGCAGGCACATTATGCAGTCAAGGAGAAATGGAAGGAGAGGTAGGTTAAATATAGCCTGTGCAAGTGTGTGTTAATGCCCAATGACGTGATCGCAGCTCTTCCCTCATTTCTCCCACCTGTGAAACCAGGAAGCAGTCACGAGTGTTCCTATCTGCCCGTCCATTGCTCTGCTAAAGTAAGCGCATAGGCAGTGGGGAAACCAAATGACGCTGCACCAGCACTTTAGGTCTGGTCAACTGAGCACCCTCCGCCACCACCACGAGCACCACTACTGCTGAACAAGCTGTCAGCTCCAGAAGCGGCTCGCGCTTTTAAAGAATAATGTGGCTGTCAGGAGCCTTCACATCTCCATGGGCCTGCAGAGGGAGGGAGGGGCACTGCAGAAGCTTGCTGTCCCGTGCTCCGAGCAGCCGGGCTGGGGCTTCTGTCTTCAATGGAAGCTCCTGTAGCCTAAAAAGCAAAGTACAAGTACAGACAAGAGCCTCTCTGGGAGGGTCTCTTTTGGTACCAGTCGCTAGAGTCCACTACTGTTGTTACGCAACCATGTAACTTTACTGTGCACGAATTTGGTTTATTAATTAAAGGACTATCAGCTGAACGCATTTCAAAAGATTTGAACTTTTTAAAACTTGCCAAAAAAAAACAAAAACATAGCCCAAAGAGGGAAAAGAAAAGTTTTCTGTTATATAAGAAAAAGTAAAAAGATTAATGGGGCCCCAGTGTTTTCCCCAAAATTTTACTTGTAAACAAATATAAGCACGATTAATTAATGTATTGCTTCCAGTTTCTAATATGCTACACTTGGATTCATAACAAGAGGTACCTTGACTTGAGTATCAGTATTTTATTTGCTAATATCATTGTTTCTTTGGGGGAGTAGTAGTATTTTCTTAAAGCCTCGACTCACACATTACCTGAATATGGTGAAATTTGCAGCTGGAATGCGTTTTTTCTTTTTGAGCTCTCTATTTTAACAGTGCAAAAAAAAGAAAAAAAAGCATTGTTCAGCCTGAGAGGCAGTTTGTGGTCTCTCGAAACTCATTGATAAGGCATGCACTCTGACCACAGCGGAAATAAAAATACCAAATGGACACACTGAAATGTAGAAGGAAGAGACGGTCTCTTTTACAGGACAACCATGACATTCCACTTGGTTCATATAAGAAATTCCATTAATTGTTTGTACTACAAAAATAAATTTCAGTTTCTGAATGCTAACCTCCATGCTGCAAGTTTGAAGTGCGTGTGGAAGCTTCAAAAAGTTCCTTAAATATCAAGCACAGTCCCCCTAATCCAGTGTTGAATCAGAGTTAGGGATTGAGGCTTCCAAAGCTAACCCACCATTTGTATGCAAGGTGGAGTGTTAAGCTCACTTTAGAAAGAGTCAAAAACACAACTAGTGATACAACACAGAAAAGCACTGTGCTGATCAATGCACAGTGCTTTGAACAATGTAATTCTTATGTTCATTTCACAAAAAAAGGGAAGCTAATCCAAAACCCTAACAAAACTGGACACTCTTCTTTAGTAATATCACTTTGCACTGTTTAGATCCTTTAGAGATTTAAGGGTTATGGGTATTATTCAAACAGGTCTTCCTGCATTATACAGGTAATTGCAACAGAATCACAGATTGCTTAATGTCTTTGGTGCAGCTCTGAGAAAGCTTTCCATTGGCTATGAGTGAGATTCAGACATGTCTGGGCATGTTGAGGGTGAGGTCATCTTTAAAGTGCCTCTCTTTCACCCCTGCAGTCAGAAATTTTGATCGCTCTTCAGTGAGGAGTCGCTCCTTCAGAAGGTTGAACAGGGCCTTCAGCGTCTTGAGGAGGACTAAGAGTGGCAACGCTGTTAGCAATGAGACATCTGAGGAAAGAGACAATGCCAGAAATTCCAGTGTGCCACAGGAAGGTATGGATTAAAACCTTTATATCTGTGTTTCTGTGTTTCCCTGAATGTGTATACTTGTTTCCTCAGCTTTATATGGAGGGTGACACAGCTGGGTCCCACAGTGTAACAGTAGTATATGTTTCTTTAATAATTCAGCTGTAGATTGCATAAGCTTGTGCAGACAGATCATGGGAGAATGGTAGCCTGAGGGATGGGATGGCCAGAGGTCGCTGAAGATAAAGCAGATGATGTTCCTACTTCTGTCTCCACTACCTGTTCTTCTTTTTTATCTCATCCTTCTATTCAACTCTACCATATCCTGTCATTCCTTACCAACTTGATGATATATTCACCTGGGAAAGCAGTGTTCTAGACGTGGTAGAACCATAAGATGTATGTATGCAGTAAAAAAAAATGTGCCGTAGTGATATTTAATGTAATCTCTACAGACTGGCACTTGTGGTGGAAATATAGCCAACCATAGAGTATAACGTTAAAGCAGAATTGCAGTGTGATTGGACGAAGGAACGTGGGATTGCGTAAGAATGAAGGATGACGAATGATCTGGGAGTAGATTATTCTCAGAGGCCATCACTGACGGGGCTGAGAGAAAAGATTAAATATTCATTGCCTGCCACTGAGAGACAAAGATAGACGGGAAGGATGCAAAAGTGAAGTAGACGTAGTTCCATCCTGGAGAAATGTAAGGAAGAGTGGATGCAGAGTAAAATAAAATGAAAACAAATAAATAAGCAAACACATCATACAGTCCCATTGGGGTGGGTAAAAAAAGTATGTGACAAGATGAAGCAAGACAGAGGTTGAAAGGTGAATGATGGAGAGAAAGGAGGATTACATAACGGCTGTGAGTCTCTCTTAATGTGCTCTCCACCCTTGAAGCAATCTGCTGCAAAAAAGACAAAATATTGACTTTGTATTGGAAAAAGTGCAGCGAAGTGTGGAACAAGTGTCTGAGGCTACAGAGACAGAGATACGAGGGGAAACAGTGCATTTAGGAATAAGAAATGAAATGAAAAACTCAACTTCTTAAAGACTTTGGCCAAGGCTGTCAGCCAAGATAATGTCCCCCACCCATTTCCACATGGTCCTGTTCAGAATGAATCATTCTGCCATTTAGTAAAATTCAACAAATTCAACAGTGGGTATGTGGGAGGATTGCACAAAAGAATGACATAAAACTAGAAGAGACATACTCTTTCATTAAAAATGCTGAGGCTCATAATGAGGTCTGCATTATACTCGAATCCTTTATTTTTTGCAGATGATCAAGTACTGAGGTGAAAACAAGGGGAACAAATCTGTTGTGAATCAAAGTAGTTGGACTGTGTACAAATTTAGTGTGTATTACAACTTTTCTTACATCCCCACCCTAGTAATAACTTTGTGGAAATGTGAAATTGAGGGTTTTCCCAAGCATACTTGCTACAGATGTATGTGACTAATGATACAAACATCACAGAGGATAATCAGCCAAGCAAATTTTCCCTCTTGACTTCTACAAGTTTGTTTTAGTAACCTTAGGGAGTAGAGACAGCTGGCTCCACTGCTGAACCTCTACACTACGGTATACCTCCATCTCCCTAGATGTGTTTGTCTTTTCCTTCTCAGCGCTCTCCTTTTCTCCCATTTCCTCTCTTGTTTTATTTGGCTGGGTCTTTTTGGCTGTTGATCTTTGTACAATAGAACTTAACACAGCCTTTTCCTTCTTCCCCAGTGGTGGCTCTTCCTCAGCTCCATCACCTGATCCCTGATGGTGAAGTTACCAGTATTAAGATCACGCGGGTGGATCCCTCAGAGCCACTGGCCATTAGCATCGTCGGTGGCAATGAAACCCCTTTAGTTCGCATTCTAATCCAGGATATCTACAGAGAAGGTGTCATTGCTCGGGATGGACGCTTGCTTCCCGGGGACATGATCCTCAAGGTATAGTGAGTTTAACAAAGCAGCTGGAAGTGATAAAAAAGTCCTCCGTGAAATTACATTTCCGCTTGTCCTTCAGGTAAACGGCATTGACATTAGCAACGTGCCCCACTGCTTTGCTGTGACCACCCTCAAACAGCCGTGCCAACTCCTCCGGCTAACCGTGCTCAGAGAACAGCGGCATCGCTACCGTTCGCATTCGCATGGCCACCCACATGGCCACATCACTGGGGGCCACCCATCACACGGCCTACCCCATCATCCCTTGAGAGATGATAGCATCCATGTGGTCCTGAACAAAAGTGCTCCAGAGGAACAGCTGGGCATTAAGCTCGTGAGGCGGCCAGAGGAGCATGGAGTGTATATCTTTCACCTGCTGGAGGGTGGACTAGCTGCACGTGATGGGCAACTGTGCATTGGTGACCGCGTGCTTGCCATCAACGGGCACGATCTACGTTATGGCGCACCAGAGCACGCTGCTCTACTCATTCAGGTCTGTTAGCAAGTCAAGGAAAGACTGCATGCATTAGCATTACATAGAAAGTTCACAGTTGTGACAAATTCACCTTCATGTTGTTACAGACCATAAACAACTGTGTTGTGATCTTAATGTGAGTCCCTGAGGTATTAAAGATAATTGTGGTGATTCAGGCTAATTGTGTTGTGCTGTGCTGTTGTGTCTGCATTCAGTGCAGTTAATAGTATTTAATTGTGGTTACTCCCTGATGGACTGGGCCATGTGGCTGCCTCTGTATCCTGGTTGATGCCAGTCAACGATGGTGTGTTTTTGGTTAATAGTGGTTAATTGCAGTGTGTCTGCGGCTGACTGTGCAGGGTCTCTGGGCTCCAAGTTCCTGTCTGGGTTGTTTGACTGGCTCTACTGGGTCTCTGTGGAGCCAAGATGGCCTCTCAGAGTAGGCACTTTCTGTCGGAGATTAAGAACTGCCAGGATAGAAATTAAATTAGTTCAATTAAGGCAATAATGAGCTGGACTGGCTAATTCAGGACTCAGCTCTTTGCTAGAAAGACCCGTGGAACTCTCCAAGGAATGAGAGCATGGGGAGAGGGATGTATCCAGCCAGTCTGTGTGGCTGTATGCTTGCATATGTGTGAATGCGTGTAGGTCAGCCTGGAGTATAGTTCTAAGAGTTATGACAAAGTGGCAGTGAAGATTAGCTATCCAGAAAATTTCACTCAGAATAAAATTAATTTCCCCATTTAACTGCAACACATGTCAAATTTTTCTGTGGTTGTTTTTTAGGCAAGTGAAGAGCGCGTCCATTTCATAGTGTCTCGTCAGATCTGCCTGCCCACTCCAGACCTCATACAAGAAGATCCGTGGGGCATGGATGGTCCCCCACCATATTCCCCTGTGGATCTAGAGCAAACACTGCTGGTGAGAAGCTCATACAGACACATATATATACACACACAAGAGACAAGGACGGTACTGATACACAGAGGAGCTTTGTTCCCCCGACTCCCCTTCCCGTGATAAATATTCGCTTTCAGGTGCAAATGATCCATGGAGGTATTATTCTCCAGTCAAAGCTGAGTATGTCATTCAAGCAGTACAGCAGGAAAGCTGTTTTGTGTTGCACCCCCATCGATCTCCTATTTTTTTCACCACAAAGAAGACATCCAAACCTTTACTGTTTTTTTGAACATAGCAATTTATCTTGCTCTACAACAGAGCCAAGGTGAAAATTCATGGTATAATTTCAGGTTGATCAATTCCCTTTGATTTTTAAGAGGCAATTGTTTTGGCTTCCTGCTATAAGTAGAATTTGTCTGATTTCAAATTTGAATGTAATTGGCACAAAAAAAATGCAAGTTTGCGATACTTTTTGTCTTTGCCACAATATTTAATCACTATAATCACAAACTTCCTTACAGATCTCTACTTTGGGGATATTTTGCATATACAGTACAGTATCTTGTGGAGAGTTCCTCCTCTTTCAATGTCACCGGGATCAAAACATGTAAATGCATATATTTTTATATATCTTTGATTATATCTTTAATGCGGCTGCTTGAGAAGTGACTGATAAGAAATTATTCATTGTCAAACCAAAGGTGACATCTAGCGAGATAATGCTGCTTCATGAATCTTTAGTTTTGGGGACATTGTTCAGTGGTCTAGGGCAGTGTTGACAAACCAGTAATAGTTCAGTTAGGACAGCACAATATTAACTGAATCGTAATATTTTTCCCAGTGTCAGCTTATATGTTATACCTGAGTGATTTAATTTATAATAGTAGGGATTCGTGTGGTTTGGCCAAGACATATTCCAAGACATGAGAAGTACAATACTCTGCTTCATTATGCGGCCATCAGGGGCCATATCCTCACTTTCATCCGAATGCATAGAAGTTTACAGGAAAATGACCTCATTTGTTCTATGACCTCACTAAATACATTCCTGGTAAGTTTAACATCTTAAGTGCTAGTTTCAAGTCTTTTTGTTTTATTACTCCAGTAGTGTAAAAAATGTTGATAAATCAGGATGTTCTTTAGGTTAACACTGTATGCAGTGTCTGTAAGCTACTTATTCAGGCTTTACTTGTCACATCAGGTTTAAAAACACCAAGATGGGATTGAGCAAAATGCTCAACCAGAAGCTTCAAGATTGCACATTGCCCACTAACCAGTGGGTCATGTCACACTGATTGCACCAGCTTCTAAATTCTTCTTTAAGTTGTGTACATACTGATAAGCCAGTCTATTTAACAACTATCCAGCATTTTGCCTAAAACAAACCTGGTAAAAATAACTGGCATGCCACAGAAGAAATCCTTCTTTTGAACTCCAGGTGGTTGTTCTTTAATCACCACACGAAATAGCTAGCTGCTTGGCTAAGCATAAAGAACAGAGATGACAAAATATCTTATGTGAGCTCGCTGTGCTGGGAGGTAACAAACTCTGCTCATTACACAGCATTATTGTTCATCAAAAGCCATCAAATAATCTGGGAAAAAACAGACAGAATTGACAGTGCTTTAATATGAAAGCCAGGTAATGTGTTCAGTTTTCGCACTGTCATGCCATAAGGTCAGTCAAGTGATCTCTTGTTGTGAGTGCAGCTAAAACGTGTGAATGTGGCACATTAGCAAAGCAGGACAAGCTACATCCCACCAACCTCAGTGTGTCCATGTGTTATTCATTAGTATTCAACTCTACCTCATATGACTCACACACTTGCTATGAATAAAACCTCATTCACTTTATCCCATGCAATGCCTCGTTCAAAACATCAAATAACACATCACGACTCTGTGTATGAATCTCTGCATTCAACATGGACAAAGACTGAGGAGGCACTTGAGCTGCCTAATGTTCTACCATAATAACCACCATATATTATACATTAACCAATTATGCTGACGAGGTCATTCATCAATCAGCTTTTAACTGTGTCTATGTTATTGGGCTCTTGTTCCCATAACCCAGCATGGGTGGCATTCATGTGACTTCTACCATTATTGCAAGTCTCACAGAAAACGCTCCTCATTATTATGCAAATGCACTACATCTAAATCTAATTACATTATATAATTTATTTAAGATGCCCTTGGTGTAAGTCATTATTATGTTTGGAGTGACGGTGCATGCGGACACTCAAAACACCACAGTGACAGCATCAGTTCTGAATGTGTGGTATGTCCATTAACATCACAGTTGGAAAAGAAAACGGGATATTAGGGGAAGGAATAAAAAACAACCTTGGTTGTTTTTAAAATCAGTCACTTTACAAAAAACTCTTTACTTCAACTATTTGTCTGTCTGCTTTCTGTCTCCTGTAAAGGACTCTTGTCAAAAGCCTGCATGTTATGAGAAGACAGTAAGTCTAAATAAGGAGCCGCATGACTCTCTGGGTATGACAGTGGCGGGCGGCATGTCCAGCCGAGGGTGGGACCTCCCCATCTACGTTACAAATGTGGACCCTGATGGAGTGGTGGGACAAGAGGGCTCCATACGCAAAGGTAAAATGAGTTGTCATCTAATTATGTAATCATTAGAATATTACTCATGTATTTCAGAAGAAATGTGATGTCTGTAATCTGTGCAAATAATTACTCATATAGTGGATTAAGCATGAGTTTCATTGCATAAAAATTCTGTCAGTATTTATATGGGTTTGGTGATGAATACTTGTAACGAACAGATGGGGTGATTGATGAACATTTAAGGCTCATGTTTCATTATGAAGGTTATTCATGCAACAGAAAACTCTGGTGCTGCTGTGGTTCAGTGCTCCGCAAATTGGCTCTAAGAGATTTAAACAAAAACACAAACAAACATTAGCATAGCAGTGCTCGAGACTTGAACTCCAATTGCAATGCAGAAGAGAATTTGTCAAGTATCTAATTATTTTGCTACATGAAATTCGTCAAGACCGAACCAGCAAAACATGAAGAGACACACAATAGCTGTATGGAAGAGCAGCAGCCTTAAAATCCTGTAATGCTACTGAAGGCAGGGAGAGTGGAAGATTTTTAGCCCCAAATGCTGATTCCTGCATATTCACCTTAAAATAGAACCATATTAGGCCTTTCATTACTCTCAATCTCAATGCCTTAAACTCTGGTTATGAGAGGATTGAGAGAAATGCTGAGATGGGTGATAAGAAGTACAGTATGAAGGCTTAATAAAAATAGAAGTAAATTGAGTCTGTTGTCCTATTCATGGTTCAAGGTGCACATTATTGTATTCATAAGGGACAGAGCAGCAGCAGCTGCCTCCTTTTGTACGGTTATGAAACATGTTTGCGTTTTGTAATGGAGTGTTAATTTGTATTTGCATATCCTCACAGGGCAAATGTGTCCTTTGAGCTGCTTACTAGCAAGATGGACTCTGCGATTATCAATTTATCTTTGCACCACTTTCATCACTAGGAGGCTTTTTAAAGCACAGGTGGTGCTTAGTTTCCATCTCTTTGTCTTCTAGCGTGGAGGTTGATGAATATTAAATAGGCAGATGATGTGTCCCACGTCTTGTTTTAAGCTGTTATGAGGGTATCAGCCCCAGGCAGAGCTTGAGTTGTGCTGTCTATATCTTCCCCTGCAGGTGACATTTTGTTAAATGTGAATGGCATGGATTTGACAGGGGTAACACGAGGTGAGGCCGTGGCCAATTTGAAGAACACCTCCTCTCCTGTTGTGCTCAAGGTTTTGGAGATGCGTCCTCCAGAGGACTTTGTGCAAGATTGCACATTGCCACCTTGTCTTACGCCATCACCTACAGACAGCATCAAGAGCCCGGTGCCTAATGACGATTACTCCCCACTGTGGGTGTCATGGCTGCAGCTACCCAGGTAGAGTACCCACTGCTGCCTTTGCATCATCTCCTTGTACAATTGTATGCTTTTTCTGAGGCCAGTATAAATTAAACCCCTCACACCGGTCCTTGTGACCTCTGCCAGCTGGTGCCAACTGAAATTTTGACAAAGCCAGCTGGGAAAGGAATGCTCATTATACTTTTAAAACTAACCTTTCAGCTTAAATATTTACCACTAAGATATCAGTTAAACTTTCTCTATGTTCTTAGCATATGAATTTAGAAGGTGTGTTAGAAAGACAGCTGTGTACTGATAACGACAAACAACTGCTGCTCCTAGTTTTATAAAGTATGATGAAACAGAGATGCAAAGAAACCAAGCACTAAGTCACAGTGAAAATTTAGCTTTGGACTGTGATTTGGTGCACTACTGATACAAAGTCCAAATCACACCTGCATTCAAAGGTTAGCCAGGCCTTTCTCTTTAGAGTGGGGCTCATTTCAGCACTCTATCTACAGCACACATGCTCAGTATAGATGCACAGTATGTGTAATCTAAAGATGCCGTTGAGAGATTAGTGTGATTAATCTCCCTCTTGGCTCATGCAGGCATCTCTACTGCTGCAAAGACATCGTCCTGCGGCGGAGCACTTCGGGCAGCCTGGGCTTCAGTATTGTTGGAGGTCAGGAAGAGGTCAACTGCAATCAATCCTTTTTCATCCGCTCGATTGTGGAGGGGACACCAGCTTACAATGATGGCAGGATAAGGTATCTGCTCGTTGGATATCACTTTTTTTCCACAATTGCCCATGGGCAAAATGTTTTAGAAGTCAAAGAAGATCATTTTCAATTCCCATTTCTCTGTCTGTGTAGGTGTGGGGACATCCTGCTTGAGGTGAATGGAAAGAGTACTTGGGGGATGACACACACAGCACTGGTTCGCCTTCTGAAGGAGCTCCGTGGCAGAATCACCCTGACCATAGTGTCCTGGCCTGGTAGCCTGCTGTAGCAGTGCTTTAAGCCATCCAGCACTGTTTCGGTGGCAGTGACCAAGGAATGTCAAAGGCAGAGCTTTAGTCTGGCTGACTACCTAATTTTGCTGTGAGGGAGAAGCTTAGAATAGTCGTGTAGCTGTTTGGATACCTCACGTCTGATGGACAGCCGTGACTTCGGCAGGAGTTTGGAAGGACATAAGACTGGATTGTTACCAGAGGTTAACGTGCCCCTCAGAAAATGCTGAACTGGGAGGATCCAGGCTTGAGACACTTTTAACTAAGATGTTGGGTGTTATCAGTTTAGAGGACATGATCATTCTCTGGCATCGAGTGGGAGTACCGACAGGAGACACAACATGTTGCCAATTCCAGTAGTTATATGTTAGGATATGCGTTAAGTTGGACTCACATTTCTCTACTGTAACTGTTGGGTGTCTAAAAAAGATCCAAGCACTTGTAATATGTTTATTTTGTTTGTTTGTTGTATGGCCTTTTAATGTAGGCTTTATTCTGTTTGTACTGACAGTGGTTGTCATCTTCATCTGTTGATCTGAAGACACGTTGCCAAGTAGTAGTCTGTGAGGTTTTTTATGTTATGTCAGAAGCTATGGCTAAACTATCAAACCGCTGGCAAAGAAAATATATGAAAAAATAAAGGATTAATGTGTTCATAACATGTTAAAAGATATTTAATTAGATAACAGTGTGGAGGCCTTACTAATTTTCTTACATTTAAGAAAAAAAATGACTTGGTTTCTGTGTATCAGTGGAAGGGCTGAGGCCCATCTACTGCAGTTCTATCTGTCACGCTTCGGCCTGTGTAGTACATCTGATGGTACATTTGGTTAACTGATCAATAAAATCATTTGAAAAATTGGTTGCTGTGACAAAGATGATTAAAAGCATATCACCCTGGGATTCACAAAGCTACATGTACACATTCCCTTCATCTGAAGAAAATCAACAGAAAAAGAAACAATGAAAGCATAGTGTACTAAACATTCATGAAATTATCCTTAGTTTTTCAAATAAAATTATTAATTTAAATGAATTATTACTACTGAAAATATTAATTTGTGAATGATGTTATCTATTAATTAATTTTCCGAAACAATATAATGTAAGAGGCCATAGGGCAGTTCTCTGTTAATCAGGCTGGGAGACTGAAAGTCAGTCAGATTTTAATTTCCTTTTTTGTTAGGAGAGAACTACTTGCTGGTTTCCTTGTTCTTCCTACATGTCTTGGCTTTTCTGTTTCTTTTCTGTTTGTGTCTCCTGTCCCTGTTCCCACCAACATCTCTGCTACTTCTGCTGCTCCTGACACTGCTGCTGTTGAAGACACAAGATAATGATCATTAAGGTTAGTTCTAGTATTTTCATCCTTTTACATATATGTGAGTGCGCTTGTTTCTCATTAGACCTTTCTGATCTTTTTCGTGATCCATCTTTGTTGCTCTTTCTCTTTTTTCCACTGCCTCTGTCATAGCAATACTTGTACCCTTGGTTCCTAGGCTCCCTGTGCTTCATTTGTGCTTCCCTGTTGCAGAAAACAAAATGGTTTTTATTTTATTCTTACATTACTTACTGATAAAACTTGAGAGTTTCTCATTGGGACATAACACAAAAGGGGGGGGAAAGGCCTGTTGACCCACAGGAAGACTGCTGCTCTCTTGCTCCAGTGAAAGAGAGATAAGTCATGACTCAAGGGATTAAAACTGTAACCACTGTGTTAGCTTTTATAACCTCCCCCCGGCTTCCACTTTGAGTAACAAAGAGCCCAATACAAGTGTCACAGCATGCCTTTTACATAAAAGCCACACATCCACACTGCAGTTACCTATAAGTTTTAAATTCTAGTGTTCATATGACCTCTGGAAACACACATGCAAAAACATGGTGAAATCAGTCTAAATCAGCACTGGAGACATATTGGACAAAGCAGCTGCAAACATGTATGGTTTAAAATTTATAGTCCAATGGTTCTATAAGTGAGTGAGATGGTCTTTTCTGTCTACATTGAGCACCTTGAGCAATGGCGTGTCCAGCGGGGTGGCCTGGGGGGGGCACAGGCCACCCCCCCAACCAGACTGGCCACCCCAGGTGCCACCCCAAAGGCAGAACAATACAATTCAATCAAATATCAAATGTCCGATTATGTTTTCACGGTGAAGCTCAGATATCCGAGTGTAAGTGAATGCAGCATCGGCTTCTGCGCTACGTGCATCACGTTGGCAAAGGTAGGAGAGCCAAGCACGAAAGATGGCACCGCAGGAAACAATTTTTCGGTGAAAGAAAATGAGGACAGAATAAATGTCCCGGTAAGTAATATTAAGTTTGTTGAGTTTAGTAAACTTCGGTGAAATTAGAATACCAAGGAAAAAATAACACTTAAAGAATTATTGCAGCCGTCGAATATTTCAGACAGTATGCTACTGAGGGCAGCTAACATAAGAGTTATGAGTTATAAGATATAATCTAAGTCGTAACATTGCTGTATGGAGCTGCAGATTTGGTTGCAGGTTAACATAGCTGGACTGGCCATCGGGCATACCGGGCATACCGGGTGACTTATTTTTTATTTTTATTTTGTAAGGGCATGAACAATGAGAGGTGGTGGATTGGCCAGATGCAGGTCGATGTGTAAAAATAACTCAGTTGTTTGGTGGTGACTGGGGAGAGTGCCCGCCCTATGGAAGACATCCTGCATCGTCCCGGTCCCCAAAAAGAACCGGCCCAATGAGCTGAATGACTTCCGACCGGTGGCACTGACGTCACATCTTATGAAGACTCTAGAGCGGCTCTTCCTCAACCTCCTCCGACCACAGGTACAACATGCCCAGGACCCACTACAGTTTGCATACAAGGTGGGTGTCGGAGTGGAGGATGCCATCCTGTACCTCCTACACAGAGCCCACTCACACCTGGATGGGGGAAAAGGCACGGTCAGGATCCTGTTTCTTGACTTTTCCAGTGCCTTTAATACCATCCGGCCCTGTATGCTTCAGGAAAAACTGAACAGGATGGAGGTGGACCCCTGCCTGGTGGCTTGGATCTCCGACTACCTCACCGACAGACCACAGTACGTCAGGCTGAAGGACATCACGTCTGACACAGTGGTCAGCAGCACAGGAGCACCACAGGGAACTGTGCTGTCCCCTCTTCTCTTCACCCTGTACACCTCTGACTTCTGCTACAACTCTGAATTATGCCATATTCAGAAGTTTGCAGATGACACGGCCATCATGGGGTGTATCTGGGATGATCAGGAAGAGGAGTACAGAAGTCTGGTGAGGAACTTTGTCGCATGGAGTCACACAAACCACCTGCAACTCAACACCTCAAAGACTAAGGAACTGGTTGTGGACTTCGGGAGGTCCAGAGAAGGTCCACTGCCAGTTCAGATAGAGGGGAGGAGGTGGAGGTGGTCAACAAGTACAAGTACCTCGGGCTGTGGGTGGACAATAAACTGGACTGGTCATGCAACACAGAGCACCTGTATAAAAAAGCCCAAAGCCGACTGTACTTCCTCAGGAGGCTGAGGTCTTTTAACATCTGCAGGAAGCTCCTGAGGATGTTTTACCAGTCAGTGGTTGCTGGAGTACTTTTCTATGCTGTGGTGTGCTGGGGGAGCAGCACAGCAAAGAGGGACTCATCCAGGCTGGAGAAACTGATCAGGAGGGCTAGCTCTGTGGTCGGCATGAAGCTGGACACTCTGGTGACAGTGGCAGAGAAAAGGACATTAAAGAAACTGATGGACATTATGGACAATGCTGGGCATCCTCTGCACACGGCCATAAACAATCAGAAGAGTCTGTTCAGTGACAGGTTGCTTCTCCCCAAGACAAGAACTAACAGACTTAAAAACTCCTTTGTCCCACACGCCATCAAACTGTTTAACTCCTCTCTGGAGGGGAGAGGGAGGGGAAACAGGAGGACAAAGGAGGGGGGAACAACTAAGCTGTAGTGCCTCTTCACCTCACTGTACAATACCTTGTGCAATACTTTTGTAAATAGTCAACAGTGCAATAGACTCAATACTTGAAATGTGCAATTCACTTGTATTTTTATTTTTTATTCCTATTTATTCTATTTATCCCCTTTGTATATTTTATTTATATTTGTCTCTGTATTTATATATGTGTGTGTGTGTGTGTGTGTGTGTGTGTGTGTGTGTGTATATATATATAACAGTTCTGTAACTGTAACTTCGGTCGTTGCTGTGCTTTTTTTGGAAGTCGAATTTCCCAGAGGAACCCACCCGAGGGATTAATAAAGTTCTATCTTATCTCTTATCTCTTATCTCTTCAGAGAAAATATTATGCGTTTGGTATTGAGCTGAGAAGAGACGCAGTTTGTCCCGAACTTTAGCTAGAATGGAAAAAGACAAAGCTGGATTTATTCTGTGTGTTTACGCTGCACAGCTGCCTCTTCTCTCATCTCCCCCTCCCTCTTCTGTTGCTACTTCAATCATGAAACTGATCAATGATCAGCTTTTCTCTCTTGTTTATTTATCGCCCACTTTGTGCCAGAAAGAGGAAACCAGCAGATGTCGCGGTAAACAACAGCAGCACGTTTAAGCTTGATCAGCTGTTGTTAGAATTTATTTAATATTAATTTCCAGTATCAGCTGATGTTTGCTGGAGCCACAGCTGTAAAGCTGCTGGTCATGATGTCGGTTTGGATATGTGGTGAGAGGGAAACATGAAGATGAAACCAGGAGATGCCCTTACTGGATCATCAGAGCTGAACAGGTGATGGAGAAACAGGTTTAGGTGACATGAATGAGTTGAAGGGAAGTTATGAACTGTTTCTGAGAGACAAATAACACCAGGATCCTTTTTTACGTAGCTGACAGCTGGTAACTGTGCAGGGGTGGGTCTAGCAAAGTTATGCCAGGGGGCCAGGTAGGGAATTAACAGGGAGAGGTGGGGCACAAAGAAATACTTTTCTTTCTTATTCTCATTTAAAATATCTCGCTTTTATTAAATAATTATCTAAATCTTACAACCAAAGTTTTTATCTGATGTAAAATGTATAGAAATCATACATATACCAACAAGACTGTACATCACTGTCACAACAGCATTTGTTTTCATTCAAAGGCTTTATGGTTTTAATACCTGGGGGGCCGGTCTCTAGTCAAAATGCCCGATTTTCTGTCCCGGTCCAGCCCTGCAGGTTAATACTGGCAGTGTCACCATGCCAGCTGACTGTATTTCATCGTCAGCCAGTGTTGTTCTTTATCAATATTACCAAAGTTTACCATAAGGCAGCATAGCAAGTATTTACTTGCTTTCAGGTTTTATTCAAATGTTAGTCTTCCTGTTTCAAAATCAAACACCAGTTTGTGAGAAGATTATCTTCTTTTTTTAAATAGGCAGATAAAATTTTACATTGGCATTGGCTAATTTGTCAATTGTTTGTTACAAATGTTCGTATTTTAATATTCAAAAATGTTTTTGCCCAAAACATATGTGCACTACATGTCAGTAAAAATACTATGCAAATATTGCTGTCCTTGAATGCTGAGTAAACACTGACAAAGCACTGATTGTATCTCTTGTACTTTATCAACGCAGTATCTAAAAACTTTGCACCGTAGTGGTTAAAATCTCATTCTAATAAGAGTTAAAAGCTCATTCGGTTATTAGGTTTATAGGATTATTGAATTATGGTTAATGGTTGGTAGAATTTTTTTTTTAAACATTATCTGCCAATTACATCTGCCACCCTTCTCCAAATCTGTGCCCCTACCTGGCCCCCCAAACAAAAATTTTCTAGACACGCCACTGACCTTGAGGTACCTTAAAGACCAGGAAAAGGCTGATCCAGGCGTGTCACTCCCCAATTCTCTGCCTGATTTTCTCTCTAGGTACT